CACACACACACACACACACACACACATACACACACGCGCAGCCCACTGTGTGTTGAACAGCAGTGTGCTCGTGGTTCCTGCTAAGTCGATCACCGTTTACGGTGGATCTACGCTACAGAAGCAAGGAACAAAAGTTGGTGTCAACCGCGTGTGGAGTCATCCAAGCTTCAACTTTTATTCGAACGATGTGGCTCTTCTTCAGCTAAAGAGTGCCCTCAGGATCACGCCCACGGTGATGCCCATCAAGCTCTCCTATAATGACAGCCCGTTGAAAGACGGTTCCGACCTTAGCATCAGCGGCTGGGGCAGCCTTTCTGCTAGTGCTGGAAGCGTCTCCGCCAATCTACAGGGTGCTACTGTTAATTACTTGCCCAACGGATGCGGGAGGTACAAGAAGCCAGATTACTCGGACTACGTGCCAAGCGTGATGATCTGTGCAGGCTGCAACGCGGGTAGGGTTGACACATGTCAGGGCGACAGCGGCGGTCCTTTGACGACTCTCTCCGTCTCCAAGGGTTGCCCCATCCTTGCTGGACTCACCAGCTTCGGCGAGGGCTGCGCTCAGGCCGGTTTCCCTGGCGTGTACACGAGATTGAGCTCCCAAGTGTCCTGGCTGGAGAAACAGGCGGGGAGAGTATTCCGCAGCCAGTACGCAATGGCCCCACCGTCTACCTGTGACACGTGTGCAGGCGCTACCAAAGGCAAATGTGGCCTCGCTCCAGGGTTCGATGCCAACGCTTGCCAGATTGAGGGGTACCTTGCGTCCTCCTTTCTAGTCCAACTGAAGACCTGTTCCAAGTCCGCAACAGCCAAGTCTCTACCAATCGAGGCCCTGTTCAACCCCTCGAGTTTTGGTACGTTCAAGCCCACCGGCTCAGTCTTCTTCCTCAGGTCACGGTCTGAGGGGTCCAGTACTGTCAACCTGGGGGGGGTTAACGTAAATGTACCCCTTAGCGGCCCCGTGGAGTTCAGAAATGGCACCTTTTACAAGAGTTACTGGCGTATGCTCTGGCTGCCTGACGCTGCTGCACCCACTAGGACTTGCAGCAATTACTACACCTATGCAGCGGCGTACATATCATCCGACAAGAAGTTCATTCAAGTGAGCAGCACTGTGCGTTCGACCAGGAGTCCGTGATGATCCTGGTTCTCGTCCTCTCGTCCCAGTCGAGGTCCTGGCGGTGACCCTGGTCCACAGCTTGGTCCAGATTGTCAGCGGACGAGCCATTCATTCGAGTGTCACTGAGAGCACCACTTTGCGTCTGACCAGCAGTCCATGATGATCCTGGTCCGTCGAACACGCGTCCTAGTCGAGGTCCTCGCCCTGATCCTGGTATAGAGCGGTCGCCATCCCCTGGTCCCAGTCCAGGTCATGGCTGATCCTGGTCCAAAGCGTGGTCTGGGTCGTCAGCGGGCAAGAAGTGCATTCAAGTGAGAGAGAGAGATCTACTGTGTGCCGGACCAGGAGCATGTGTCTTGTCTGACTTTCCTGAGTTCATACTCATTTGCGTAATCTGCACTGGAGTCTACCCGTGCTTTTGTGTAGCTCTGGATTGTCCATGTGTTTCAGGGCATACTCACACTTTTTTTTTTTTTTTTTTTTTTTTACCTGCACCCCCTGCAGTGCTAGTGGCGCTGGTGAGAGCAGACACCACTAGCACCCGGGGAGGGCATACTCACACTAGTAGGTCCTTTTTACTAATTTCTGGATGGATATGCAGCCAGATACATCCAGGTCCGGCCATAATTGGGGTCAGATACATACAGAAGAGTGGCAGACTAAGTGTGAGTATGCCCTCAGCGTGATGCATCCTAAGACTAAGACTCTCACCCTCCGATGAGATTCTCCCTGTTTTTTGAAATTTTTATAGAAACTTGAGAGGAAATTTTATTATTGGGGCCCAGTGCCCAAGGCAAAACGTACACAGTGACATATACAGGGTTTGATTGCCACCCTCATCCTGATTTCTAGATTCTTTATTATTATTATTATTATTTTCTTTTCTTTTCTTTCCTTTTTTTGTTGTTTTTTTCGTAACCTCCTCACAGCCCTATGGTCGTGTATGTGTGTATGTACTCTGTATTATAGATGTGTGCCCGTGGGCTATGTGTATGTTCGTACTCTGCTCTCCACCATGGAGCATCTGCAAAGTGAGTACTGGGTACTGGTGAGAGGTGCTCTTATCACCTCCA